AAAATATTAATATAATATTAAACCGGGTCGGGTTGCGGATCCGGGCCGGGTCGGAACCGACCCGGGTCAACGGATCCGACCCGGGCGTTGACCCGGGTCGGATCTGTTAATCCGGGTCGGTCGGAACCGACCCGAGTCAACGGACTCGACCGGGCGTTGACCGGGTCGGATCTGACTGATTGATTCGGGCCGACCCGACCCGAACACACGCACTCGGGGAGAGGGCGCCGGAGAGGCCAAAATTGGCCGTCCGCCGGCTGACCCAGGCCAGCGCCGCCCCCAAATCGGCTTCTAGGAACACCGCCAAGCCTCGCCGTCCACCTGGGTCGCCGTTTGACCGCCGCTCGCCGGCCGGCGACCGAATTAAAAACCGGCCTCTTTGAGGCATTTTGTCGAACACCGGGCATGCGCGACCAAAAACAGGAGATTCCGACCTGTTTCGAGGCCCCGCCGTCCTCGGGAAACCTGTTCTTACCTTTAACGATGATGCACGGACGGCGGGGGACGGCGGTATGGGCCGGGACTCGCGCGAAACGGCCGGCGCGGGTCCCGGCCAAACCGGGAGCAAAAACAGGGGAGAACAGGGCAGTTCGGGCCGGGGGACGACTCACCGGTCGACGGCGCGTCTGGGAGGTTTCCGACTGATTGGGGGACGACGGCGACGCTGCTGGTTCTTCTTTTGCTCCGGCGGAACCTCGGTATGCCTTCTTTCTCTCTGATTTCTCTCTCTGTCTCTCCTTCTCTTCCGGTGCTCTGTTTTGGCCGAGAATAACCAACCAGCCGGCGACGTCGGTTCGGTGGATCGTCGGCGACTCTGGCTCGTTTGAGGAACCCCTGCGGCTGTATTCTTCCACCTGCAAACTAAAGATCACAAAAAATTTTCTCCAATCCTCTCTTTCTCCCCCCCGATCTCTCTGTTCTGTTTTTTTTTTGTAAAACGGCCGACCGGGGCGGCTTTGGCTCTCTGTGTCGCCGCCGTCGGCTCGGCGGCGGGGATGGATGGCTGAAGCTGAGGCGCGGTGGCCGCCGGAAGCCCTCTTTCTCTCTCAGCTCACACTCTCACGCTCTCTCTGTGTTTTCCTCTAAAATGGCCGCCGGGGACTCTCTCCGCTCAAACCGACCGAGAAAAAACCGCCTCTCCTCTCCCCTCTCTCTGGTCTGTATATTCGACGACGACGACGCCATTCTCTGCTCCATTCAATGCTCTGCACCGGCCTCTGCTCCTACCAAGACTTTCGCGGCCATTAGGCCGGTGCAGAGGAGGGGCCGATTCTGTGAGGACGCAGAGAGCGAAGGAGAGAGAGAGGGAGCTCCAGAGATAGGGAAGACGGGACTGGCCTTAATGGCCAGTCCCTGTGGCGTGTTCCCCCGGCCTCCTCTGACCGGATGACGACGATGAGGAGCGGCGCCGCCGTGCGTCACGCTTCGGTCGCGCACAGGGGAGAACAGGGGAGGAGAGAGCGACCGGCGAGGGAGAAGGAAGAGAGGAAGGGGTTGGGCCGGGCCAGGCCCAGTCCGCGCGGAGGAAAAAAAAGGAAACGGGCTGGGCCCGCGCAGGAGGAAAGAGAAAAAAGAAAAAGGAAGAAAAGGGCCGGGTCGGCCCAGTCCCGACCTGGCCCGAATCGATTTCGAATTTTTTTTTTTTTTTTTTTTTAAAATTTTAAGAAAATATGCTCTAATAGGCCTTATTAATGCACATATGCCTAATGTCTATATGCAATGCATTTAAATAGAAATATTTTTTTGTTTTAGGAATTAAAGAAATTAACTCCTAAATTTTGCAATTAATTTTGGGCAAATTAAAAATAGGTGTCAACAACCAGCAACTGTTGCATTCCCTCTAACTACGCCAACTGCTCCATTTTTTGTTTACCCTCTTCATCTCAACCGCAGAAGGTGAGAATCCTAGTGTTGTTAAAAATTCGACCAAGGAAATATTATCCTCTTGGCGCAAGACCATGTGTGATGAATCGCTTGACCAGCTCATAGGTAGGGAAAAAAAAGGATAGTCACCTAATTCCTTTATTTATGTTTTATGTTTAAGTTTTGCCTTTAATTGTTACCTAATTCAGGATTAATTTATCTCGCCTAAACATAGAAGCTTGGTGACCTAGTCCATTTCAAAATCTAAAATCAGTATAACGGCCAACATTGCAGGCACGGTCACTAGAGTACTCTAGACAACATTTAGGCTGGAAATGGTCCGAGAGAATGCAGCCCGTAGCTTTTGCTGAGGCAAATGAGAAATTGTTAGGGATAAAGACAGTGATACCATAAGTACCGTAATTTTTATACGATGCTCACTTGAATGCCGTAACTTTTTTTTTTTCGATCACTTGAATGTCATATCGGTAAAAAATCATTCACTTGAGTGCATATTCCGGCAATTCATCATACAAGGCTTTAAAATAAAGTTTATAATTCGACCTGGCTTTTTTTTAAAGAAAAAATTCAAGTCCGAAGTGGAAAATGGACAAGAGGACATTTCAATTGAGACTAAAACGATGACGCTTCATTGCAAGGCTTGGGAAAAGCCAATTCTCTGTTTTACTCACTCTCTCTCTCTCTCAGTCTCTATTCGATGGCCACGGGCTGCGCCTTTAGACCCGCCTCCCCCAATGAAGTTGCTTGACGAGAAACTCAACGTGACCAGCTTTATCTCATCACGGGTGAACCTGTAGAGGTTTGATCCGGCGAGCGATGTCGAGAGGTCCTCCAAGAGTGTCGTTGAACTGGCGTTGTTCAAATCGGATAGAGAAAGCCTTTGGAACGAGTAATGCTTTGTCACCTTCTTCTTGGGCTAGCACTTCTTGGCTTCTTCCGTGGTCTGGCAATTGCTTATCACCGTAGACCTCCATAGAAATTTCTTCACAGCAATTTGGTGAAATAGTTTTCGACTGAATTGATCCATGAACTTCAAAACTTGCACTTCTTGAACGTGGACACTAAGCAACTGAAAAAATTTCGTGGCGTTCAATAGTGTGCCAGATCAAGTTAGGGATGGCCATGTGACAATTTCAAAGGAGATCTTTTTCCTGTGACTGGACTTTTGTAGTTTTTGTCCTGTACTAATATCAATCATAATGAGGAAAAAGCGTGTTTATATTTGTTTAAACATAACGGATTCCTTTCCAGCTCTGCAGCAAGCGTTCCCTTGTTCTAGTGATTACCGGAATTGCGAAAAACTGGCGGAGACTTCCAGTCCGAAAACTTGAAAATGACAAATGTATCTTAAATTCATACATTTTTGCATGTCAATATCTAGAAGCATTTCACATTAGGTAAAAGTAACATGGTAAGTTTCGCAAGATTCGCAACAAGAAATTCAGTTGAACTAGTTTTTTTTCTCAGTTTTCAATATTTGCAGCTAGCATCAAACAATTCATTGCTATAAAACTGAGTGCGCATAACCAATAATCATAGCCACAATCGAATAATAATTCAGTATTGATTCAAAAGGCATCTCGATTGCCAAGAAGGGTTGAACCTGGACACCACGTGAAAACACTCTTTTTTGGATTACAACCAAAAAGAACTAGCAGTCGAGATTCTACATTTCAGAATCAAAAGATACGGCGACTAAGAATCCTATTTTCAAAAAAAATGTAGGAATTCTGCCACCACAGATTCATATTATTCTTGTTAAGTCATTCTATATCAGCATGCACATCCGCCTCTTTGCTCTCAGTCTAAAACAGCCTCAAGGACGCCCTGATAATATCTGCAAGCAATTTTGAAAGATCACTACGAAGAAAAAGAGATGTGATAATACAATATTATCGTCAAAAGGAATTACAGCGCACATGAATACATAGAGACCAGAAGATGGAGAAAGATTGCGGTTTGGGGAAATGCGAGACATAATTAAAGAAAGAATCAAGCAGGACAACATCAGATTCAGATTAGCGAGTCCCTCATCGTTACAACTTGTAATCAGACGTTATCTTTCCCTTTTTTTCCAATGAGTAAGATTTTATTCAGTAAAAAACACAAGCAGGGAAGCAATCCTGTTACAAGATGAAATACACAAGCTCAGGCACATTAGGAAGCACAAGGAACTCTATCAATAAGACGAAGTTGAAGAGCAGAGTGTTGAGAATCCTGCTTATGCCCATACAAGGCAAAGAGATGAGTATCCTGCTTTCTAGAACAACTAAACTTGATACTTGTACAGATGGTACGAGTTCTGAGCACAACTTAGGCTATTATAAATGTAGTAGCATTGTTGCGATCATAACATTGGTAGCTTCCAGGAATCAATCTGCTTCCTAGTTGGCCATTGATGAAAACATGCGGATAATAGCTTATCCTGCGGATCATAACATACGTAGCTTACAGGAATTGATCTACTTCAACTAACGAAGGCTCCTGATCAAAGGTAAGAGAAAAACATGCACATGATGATGGACATGAAAATGGGTAGCTGATTCCTCAAGAAGAAGCCTACTAGAGGAAATGCGAGAGCTCCAAGACAGAAACTGTAATGTGATGGACTTAAAAAAATTCGAGACTCAGCAAACCCAATCGAGCTTTTATGCTTGGCGATGCTCATGCACGAGGAAGAAGTAACATACCTTGCAGAGTCCGATTAACCTCTCTCATTCCTGATTCTCCACCAATCGTAGACTGTAAAAGCCCCAAATCGCATTCGGCAAGCAAACGACCTTCGAACACATCGAGCTTCATGGGCAGAGAGAGTGAATCGAGCAACATACCAAACCCTAATGCCCCAAATCGCCTTCAGCGAGCGAAAGAGCTTCGGCCGAATCGAGCTTCCTTGACAGAGAGAGAAAGAATCGAGCAAAATACTAAACCCTAATGCTGTCAATAAAGCCATCTAAATGCTTATATGTTACGGAAGTGCTCTCAACAAGTAAATATGATGGCAAATGCCCTCTTTGACGAAAAAGGAAAAGATCGCCGACATTGGGAACACGATTGTACCTTATATTAGTGATCTTGAATCTTAACCAATCGTCCCTTTCACTAAAGGAACATCTTCATATCCGAATAGTGTGACGTGCCTTAATTGAATCATTAAACCTAGTCCAGTACATAATTGTTGTGAGTCCGTGCTGTTTCCACATCATTTTTAAAAAATTCTGCTCTAAATCGGCCCCCCAATCCTCACTTATCTTCCACTCTTGCAGATTGTTTGAAGGTTCACGCCTAGAAAGATCCTCTATTGACGAACCCAAGACATATAGTTCTGCTAGGTTCTTCAAATATGAGATATCGAGTGTGGTCAACGATGAACATTTTCCAATATGAAGCTTTGTGACACTCGAGGGAATCTGCGGAATGCATTCCAGAGAACAGCAATCGAAAAGCTGAAGGGTCTTCAAGCGAGGAAGCGCACCTAACTCAGGAGATAGGTCTGTAATGCTTGGGTGACCCAGCGTCAAGACTTCCAATTTGGATAATCTCCCAATCCACCAAGGCGCTGGAACTTGCACCAACTTAGGTCGGCCAGAGATCGCAGGCACTGCGATGATGAACAACAATAGTTTCAGATTAATCAAGTTGGAAAGATCAGGATCGGCTATTGGTACATCAGATACGATTGCCAAAGAAGTCAAGCTTTCTGGAAGCTTCGGCAAGGGTGGTACAACCGATTCTTGAAACAAGCATAACTTCAATGCTTTTAAATTCTCCAGACTTTCCATAGAGTCAGGTAACTCAGTGAGGCTTGTGCCGAATAGATCTAACTCGGTCAATGATCGTAATTCCTTAATGGAGTATGGAAGTGTGTGCATATAGAAGCACCCACTCAATGATAAGCTTTCAAGATTTGTCAGCACTCCAATGGAGTTGGGTAGGTGAGTAATATCTGTACCGTCCAATGAAAGTGTCAATAGTGAAGTTAGACAATTGAGTGAATCCCCTACTTCTGATGGTGAAATTTGTTCATGGGGATTTTCCAAGTTCTCTATACCCCACCAATCAGGAATTTCTGATATATTAGTATGATGAAGGAGAAGTTCCCTGAGAGATGATAATCCACCCAACTCTTTTGGTAGATAATGAAGACTAATACAACTGCGCAAGTTCAAGAAAACCAATCGCTTTAGTTGACCGATTGATGAGTCAATCTTAGCCAAATATCGACAACTTTCGAGAATTAATCTCTCCAACGTTAGGAGTCCAGAGAAATCGGGAGTTCTAATCAAGTGTCGACATTCCGAAAGGTCAAGAACTTTTAATTTCTCTGCTCTCTGTAACACCAATAAGACAATTGTTAGTAAATTTGTTACAATAACAGAATGTACACACTAATAAGAAGACTTTTCTAGAGTTGAGGTTACCTTTATGTGCCTCCATCCATTCCAATCATGAGTAATTTTACTCCTTGAAAAATCAAGAATGACTAAATTACTCAACGAAAAATAGCTTATCTTGAGTATCCACTGAGGAAAATTATGCCAAGAGAGCCATCTTAAGTTGGGAAGTAGTTGGTTCTCGCTCAGTGAAAAATACGTAGGCGACACAATCAAGGACTTGTTATGCCAAAGAAGTGTAGCTTGGGAGAAAAAACGGTCAACTCTATCATAAACGAGGGGTTGGCTATCCACCTGAAGGAACCTCAGATTTGGAAGCGCTGCAAATCCTTCAAGAGTGAAACGATACTCTGACCATTTCTCAAACTTCAAACAGAGGGCTTCGAGCTTTGCATTTTTCTAAATGAGCAAACAAGAAAAGTTTATGAAAAGAAGGATGTTGGTAGCTAATTAAGAAAACAATCTAGGTCTATCTTTGAATTTGAGGCGAAGTTCATATCCATATAATTGGGCGTATCTAAAGATACTTAAGATAGCTCTTATCATTCTTATAGACCAATTTGGAGAGGACCGGCATAGGTTTTGAAATTTGAAATTTAACAATTTAAGAAATATTCTAAAATATGTGGAAATTTTAAAATTGTATATGTTGAATTAATTGTGATTGTTTCACTGAGGGGGATAGTTCCCCCAATTACTAAAATGTGAATTCTCGTGCACAAAGGAAATTGGATCCAAAATTTACCTTCTCTCTTAGTACTATCTCCAATGCGTCCTTGTGATTCCACAACCTACTTTGCTTATCTAATTCGCCCCCACTTTCTTGAGAAATAATTTCTCTACCGAGATCTTTGAGTTGATCGTGCATCCAAAGCTTGTTATCTTCTCCAATTTTAATCAATGACATCAACTGAAGAACTTCAAGACCTTCTGTTGGGCATAAACCACAGTCTCTCCACATGTATATTACTGTACTCTTATCATATCCATCGAAAAGACAAGCTATATCAAGAAATATTTCTCTTTGACTGGGATCTAATGTTTCATAGCTGATCATCAACTTACTTCTAAAATTATTGATGTGACCCTTTTTCCACTTCACCAAGTAATCTTCCCACATTTCTTCTGTTTGTCCACATATAGATAAAGTTGAACCCATAACCTCCAGAATCAACGGAAGACCTTCTGCTATCTTCACAATTTCTCTAGACTGTTCCATTTTCTCAATTGGAGGGTGATCTCTTCTGAAAACATGCTTACTGAATAGCTGAAGGGATCTTTCGGGATCCAAACCACCAACAAAATAAGTCAATTTTACTCCGAATTCACGTAGAACATTCACTTTTCTGGTTGTTATAAGTATCCGACTTCCTGGACCAAAGCAACTTCGCCTCCCCAAAAGTGCAGTTAATTGATCCTTTTCATCAACATCATCAAGAAGAATGAGAACTTTTTTACGTGAAAATCTCTCTTCTATCGTCATTATTCCCTCGTCCTTGGAATTTATACTTTGATGTGCCTGGTTTGAGAGGTCTGAGATTAGTTGAGTCTGCAAACACACAATTCCTTTTGAATGTGAAGTTTCTCTAACATCAGCGAGAAAACAACAGTCAACAAAGTCCTGAGAAAGTTCGTTGTAGACCATTTTGGCAAGAGTAGTTTTTCCAATGCCACCCATTCCGTGGATTCCCAAGATCTTTCTATCATTGGTGTCGGTGCCTATCCTCCCTAGAACTTCTTTCACACTGTCATCAACACCAACCAAGAAGTCACTAACCACCAAATACACCTTCTTCAGCTCACTTAAAACCTTGGTAATCACCTCTTTAACTAGTTGTCCTTCGTGCCTAAAGAAAAAATGACGAGAAGGCAGAAAGTTAGCTGAAATCTACCAAGGCAAAGTAGAAAGTTAGAAATCTATGACAATAGGAATTGAATATTCTAACGTTGTGCAGCATTCGAACAGTTGCGCAACCGTCAAAGTATAATAGGTGATCACTATATCTTGCTAATTAGAAGAAAAGAGGCTGATGATATTTACCGTATTTCTGATGTGTTAACAAGCTTCTCCTTCTCAAAATAGCTTTAACATTAGCATATAGTACACGTCTTAAGTGTTATGAATAATAAACAAGAGCTCCATTAACTTTCAGCATACAACATAAGTTAATTTCGACGAACATTAGTATGCACCCTCATTACATAAATACGCAAAAAAAAAAAAATCTTTCGTATTTTTTTCATAAATATTTAATGTCAGATTAGATTGTTGACACATACTCAAACAAAGGGAACCAGCGTAGCTACATTTATTCCACGTTAAAAAAAAAAAACAGAAGAGGAAATTTTTAACAGAAAAGCCTTTGTAATTGAGTTTCATGGTCTCCTGTATCACGGCGTTAATCAAGGGTGGAAGATAATGAGGTACCCGTTAGCCACGTTTGCTGTGTTCCATCCCTTTAACCCTCCAACCTCATTGAGAGCAGCTCTCCACTTGCGGATGGTCTCATCATCCACTCGCTTCTTGTTTTCGTGCACAAGCAAGGCCTCGCCGTAACCTCCGGTTTGGTATCGAACCTCGGATGGTTCGACATAGTAGAAAATGGGCATGATTACCTGTCCCTTCCTTTTCCGACACTCCACCATCTGGGCCAACTCCTTCAGACACCATTTACTGGAAGCATAACTTCTAGAGAAGATGGGTATGGAGATCTTCGACTGCTCAATCGCCCCGAGGAGATCCGGGCCGATCTCTTCACCGATGTGGAGATCTTCACCATCTCTGTAGGTACAGACTCCTGCATCTGTGAGACGGGTATAGAGATGATCGGTGAAGCCTGTGCGCGTGTCTGGTCCTCTGAAACTTAAGAACACTTCGTAATCGCAGCCTTCCATCTCGACCAGTCCCAGAGAAAATGAAGCACCAGAGTCGCACCAGTTCAGCAATACCAGATTTCTGAGCTCTATGAAGCAGAAAGTCATGGGACAAGTAGAAATGATACTGCAAATTGAAAAGGGTACGATCGATTATGATTTTATAAAGGAAGCGAGTTTCCTGGAACTTCACCTGTGTCTTGAAAGGCTGAGCAAAAAGCACATGCTCTCTACTTTTCCATCGACACTTTGTGCCCCTCCTCCCCCAGATTTGACTTTTATTCAACGGTTCATCTTGGCTGAGGGACGGAGCCTCGTGAATAGGAGAGCAGAATTTCCCCATCAAAGATAATTGGTAGAAGTCAACTAACAAAGCAATGATGACCGGTAGAAAAATGAAGCCTCGCTTCATTAAAGTTTCGGCCTTTAGCCCCGAGCCAACCTTTCATAGGTGACAAAATGGTCCAAGGACTCATTTTTTGAGTCATCTACGATATACCAGGTCTGAATGTGAATTATTTCAAACTTTAATAAGAGGTCGCAATGGATTTATTATAGTAGAGCTCAATTAAAAAAAATTGATGGGTCAGTAATAAATCTATCTTTAAGGCATTAATAAGATGGGCAACAGATAGGATAACACCGCTGTATTCATTGTTGGGAATAGCCTCCACCCCAATAATAGCTCAAGTAGCATAATATTCACTTAGTGGGTTGGTCATCAGTCCTCAATTTGCTACCTTTTTAATTAGTGTGCATTTGTTTAATGGAGAACTCAAGATTAAAATGATATTTTTCGAAAAATGATCGCTTTGTCACTTACAAAAATGAATAAATAAGAAATATTTTTATCACCTACGAAAATAGTTAAGTGTAAATTGTTGTCGATAATGAAAACATTTTCCGTTAACTAATATTTCTAAACAATATAATCAATCATTTAATTTTTTCCAAATTTTGAGCTTTCCGTAAGATAAACAAATTCTTAATTTTTATTTGGATTCTATATATATCGATTATGTTTTGTTCCACGGGGGGTTGTGATTGTAATTTTGGAGTGATTGTTGAGAGCCATCATGTGCTGTCCTTAGTAGAATAAAAATATTGCAGGTTAGATCTCAAACTGAGAAACCTATGCTTGAGTACATCAATGAAAAATTGTGCCAAAATTAACTAAAAAAATTACAAGTAAGCTTGTTCAATGAATACTTGAATTGGGGGAGTTGGTGAATTAGTGCTGATCTTCTCACTTTTATTAGTTGAACTAATTTAATGTGATCTGGTCTTAGTTGGTTGCCGGCCAGCAAGATTCCCTTATAAATAGATTATGTTATGCAAGCTCTGCGTGCCAGCTACCTCAGCGTAGCACATCGATGATGCGTTCTAAAGTCAACTAATTTAATTTCAGATAATTTAATTATTGCAAAAGAAGAAGTGTAAAAATTACCAAAAATCCTTAATTAGTACACTCGTACCACATTTACGTTAAACTAATTTTTATGTCACAAAAAATTCCGAACCGATCCTCTATACCACATTTACCCCAAACTAGTGCACTCGTGCCACATTTATCCCCCAAAAAATCTTAGATTTACCACAATTTGTGGATAAATGCGGCACGAATATGGTCACGAATGTACTGGTTTGGAATTTTTTATGACACAAATATTAGTTTGGGATAAATGTAGCACGGATTTACCAGTTTGAGAGTTTTTATGAAAGCCATTTAAATGTGAAAGTGACACTGTAGCCCTATTTATTTTTAAAAAAGCTAATCTCTGAGATAAAAATAAAAATAGGTTAATTATGTGATACACGTCTAAAAAATTCGTAATCACAACCCAATTAGGCAAAAGACTTGAGATCATAGTACCTCATGTCTAAGATTGTTCAAAGATGATTTAGGTGGTTGTATATTCATTCATGTTATCTCAATTAGAATTGGTCCAGAGCGACTACTCCGCCTAACCAAATCATAGATCTTCCAAAGAAGACCACGAGAACTTCGCTTGATTCTCTCTGAGTAACCGGCGTGCGCCAAATAAGCTACGGATGTTTTGCTTACATGTTCAATTAGTATAAAAATCCAAATGGGTGACCCAAGCATTCCCTCCTTGTTTGTGACCATTGTTCAACAACTCTACCATGGTTGAGAAAAGTCATCGCCTATTAGTCATATTTAAGTTAATTAACTTGTAATCTACTTGCTTTCCTCCTAAATATCTCAAATTATGCATCTATTATTGTTACACGAGGATGATCCCTTATCTATTCAGGCGCTAATGGATGGATATCATCTCTTTCCTGTCATTTCTATCTGGCCTAATTCATTTTCACCCCGTCACCATCAAATGCCGTCGACGGATGGCAACGGAAGCATCTGGGTTTAAATAAACATAATCCTGGTCACACGGCTCTATTATTGGCCCATTTCTGCAATAAAGAAACATATAAATATAAAAATAAATAAATGAAAGCGAATGGCCCATCAGTTTTTGACATAGAGAAATGCAAATGATTGTCGACCCCTGCACAAATATTGTTTCATTATTTTGTTGAGAATCCCTTGTGTTGTATATGTGTGTGTGTGTGTGTGTGTGTGTGTGTGTGATATATCCTTAAATGTAAGCTTAGATCAAAGTTTGATTCGACCAAAAATGGGAGATCCAGAAAAGGGACCCACTTGGGTATATCAATTACTATCTCGGTCCAAAAGTGAATGCAGTCTAATTTAGAGCGGTATATTTGTGAATTGAGTATTCCACATGGATAGCGGTCGAGTAGAGATCGGATCTTCATTTAAATAAAAATTGGATCTTATTATGCTATTTTTCGTATTTAAAATGGAGAATTGTTAAGACATAAAGCCCTGGTTGGGTTGGAATCTGATCGGATTTGGTATGGATCACTGAAATTATGTTTCTTAAAAATGAGTCAATATAGATGAGATAGGTTAATTTCGGTCATACTTATTTTCTATCTATCCAAACTCAACCCGATCCATCCGTTTGATAAATCTAGTCACCAGGTAGCAAACAATAATGTGTAGTGGTCCCCGAGTAGTTGATGCATCCTTTTCTAGCATATCCGGGCGAATCTCGTTACCGATGCAGAAATCTTCATCATCTGGACTCCTGCATTTGTGAGATGGGTATAGAGATGATTGTGAAACCCGTGCGCTTGTTCGGTCGTCTGAAACTCAAGAACACTTCATAATCACACCCTTCCATCTCGAACGGTCGGTGAGAAAACGAAGCACCAGAGACGCACCAGTTCAGCAAAAGCGGATTTACCGAGCTCTATGAAGCCGAACGTAATGAGACAAGTAGAAATGTTACTGCAAAGTAAAATGGGTACGATCGATTATAATTTATCTCGTTAATCTCAAGGCAAAAATTCTCGCGACCACCAATGTCGAGGAAGCAAGTTTCGGGGAACCTCACCTGTGTCTGGAAAGGCAGAGCACATAGCACATGCAGCACATGGCGCGTGCTCCCTCCTCGTAAAACCCCTCTGCGTTTGGTCGTCCGTATTTCTGGTCAGGATAGGATTGGATAGGATAGGATAAGAAATCTAGGGATTTGGCCATATCCTATCCACTATTTGGTGAAGTACGGATTTAAAGTCGGATATTCTCATATCCTATCCTATCCTGCATTTGGTAGAAACTGTATATCAATATAAAGGACATATATACCTCTACGTGATGCTCATGAAATATGTCGATCTTATTACTATAAAAATAACATTCTCATACACAAATAAACTTGAAAATATGACATTTTATTAGATTTTCAAATTTCTTTGTAAAAAAAATGAAAATAGAAACAAATGAGACAAGAAAATTGTCATCATCGTCTTTCTTCGAGCGCTTTTCCGCAAACAAATCATTCTTCAGCTTCTTCTTAGGCAGAGGCTTCACCGCACCCGCACCCATCTTCTTCTTATTAAGAGCCAGGCCACCCATTGATCTGCAAAAGCATCAAATACCAGGGTTTACACATAACAACGTCGGAAGAACATCTTAAATGGGATAACAAAGATGGAACTCGAATGTGAAATAAAAAAGCCATCTTTCGACATCAACTGAAGCCGCGAAGAGCGGAGAGACAAGCTCCAAGTTACCAAACCGCAACTCCATCGAACCACAGAGCATCGCAAGCACAAAACAAACAATCGAAACAGCGAGATGGTGGGTTCCTTCATCGTCCACAATCGCGTTGTTTTTTGAAACAGACAAATCGAACAGAACTGAATCAGCAATTGCAAGGAAGAAGGGCCATTGATTCCTTGCTCCACCGCGAACTAGATACCATTCGACAAACACGATGAACGCCATTGACGACTGTGCGAAACTGGAGAGGACAGTAACAATACCTGAGCTGAGCATAGCAGAGCAGTCGGCGCGCCTAGAAGAAGAAGAAGAAGAAGAAGCGACGAAGAGGGTCGGAGCTTCTCTGATGTTGCCGGCGAGGTGCGAAAAAGCGCTTCTTCCCGGCAAGCTTCAACAGTATTTCCACGGACGACCACCTGATCTCCTCCTCCTGCGGTCCTTCCAGTTCAGCATCTCGACGAGCCGCGTGGGTGAAGAGTGCGTGAATGAAGGGTAGGGTTTCTGAAAATTTGCTTTTATACGACGGATAGGAGAAATCCTATCCGACCTTATCCTACCCCCTCCCGTCGGATTTTTTTATCCGGGTTATATCCCCTCTATATCCGACATTATACTATCCGGGACACCTACCAAACACGGGATAGGATAAAACATATCCTATCTCGAATTTTATACGGACGACCAAACGCAGCCTCAAGGTACAGCAGAGTTATGGCTGGTCTAGTTTGAAAATACAAATCAATCGTCAGGGTTTTTCTCGTTTCGAAGTATGGCTGATGGAATTTACTGGAAATAGAGTTGATTTACATTCATTACAATCGGTGGCGTCGGTTCTCTGGAGTATTTGGAAATCGCGCTATAACTCAGTCTTCCGAGGCAATATGCCGGATGCCCATGAAACGATTGCATCTATGCAAACCTCCAGCTAGCGAACTCCAGAAAGTGGAACACCCAAAACTCGAAGAAAGCAAACGAATCATTCCTTTTGCGCTCATGAACTAAGGACATTGTTATATCGAAACCTCGGGCTAGACAATTATGGGAAAATGACATAAATAGTCCTTATACTTTGGTCTAATGTCTAATGTAGTACCTGAACTTTCAATTTGTTCAGTATGGTTCATAAACTTTGGTTTAATGTCCAATTGTGGTTCCTGAATTTTTAAATATTTTTATATAGTCCAATGACCATATTGAACATTTACCGAGAGTTTAAGGAGCACATTGAATAAATTAAAAGTTTATGGACGATATTGCACATTAGGCCAAGTTCAGAGAAAATATTTACACAAATTAAAAGTTTAGAGATTACATTACATATTAAATCAAAGTTTAGGAATCATTCGTGCTATTATCCCGACAATTAAAATTTAGAAAAATGAAAGATCGAAAGCCGGTCAACTTTAACAGTCAAGTTTGACTTTCGCAGTAAGACCCAATAGGATATTTTGGACCGAAACAAAGCTCATTAAGTCGAATTCCCTGGTCACCTCCAGCTGGCAACTCCCGCACTCTCTGGGCTGAACGAAGACACACAGATGCCGCTGAAGAAGAGGATTCATGCGCACACTACTCCTTCATCGATCAGCAGAGCACCACCACCTCCTTCACCTCAGCTCCTCTCTCGCCCCTGCCTCCATTCCACCGGCGATCATCCCTATCCGGCGGAGCTCTCTCCTCTTCCAGTTTTCGCCTTCGCCTTCGCCTTTTCCTTATTCCGGCGCCTTCAGCTCTACCTTGAACTCTGTTTTTCAGTAGTCTTCATCCTCGGTTCAGAGCTCCCTGTCTGCTCCATTCAATCTAAGGTAAAGCTCTGTATCTAGCCATGATTCGATTGTCTTGCCAAGGACTCCGAGTCAGTTGTACTCAGAAGTTGAGACAGCACCTTGATCCACTTTTAACTCTCGGATATGGCACTTGAAAATGTGTTTGTTTCACGTGCGTTCATGTAATACTGGCGGTTTGATTCTCTTGTCGAGCGACTATTAAATTTGCATGTTTTGAGTTTGCTCTATATGTTCTTGAATTTGATGAGTAATCTCTGGGAATATGCATCTGATGTATGTGATTGACGTGAGACTCTCTATGAGTTTCGCACTTGTGACCCTCGCTTAGATTCACTTTACGTGTTCACTTGTTTGTGCGACTTGATCACTTTACTTTGAGGCTCTCGTTTTTTTCCTCTCATACCTGAACCGAGAACCTCCAGTCATGAAAACCAGCATGTTATTGATGATGCTGATCGACTTCGTTTATATGTGTTTTATGATCGATACTTCCTGCAAACCACGCCATGACCGAAAGCTGAATTTGCTATGCTGAACGTTGGACCTGCTGAACTCTTATTGAACTCGCTGTGCTTGTATCGATCTCTTTGTGCATTTAATTTGTTGAACCTGCTGCAACTGCATGAATACATGCTGTCCGCGAACACATTTAGCTTGTATGATGAATATTTAGTCTCCTGGACGTGTTATTTTTTAAAATATAAGTAGGTGTTCGTCAGTCTTTGTTCTGTAGTTTTTTATCCAATGATCTCGGTTGGAAATGTCGAAAAGTTCAGAAGTATTAACTCGACTCATTAATCCAAATGCCGAGTAGGATATGTCTCCTCTTGTTGGCTGTTTTGATGCAAGGATAATCTTCAATGACTTCGAAGTGAATGGATGTATGAAGGTTGAGAATAGTGTAGCTCAATCTATGGTCCATGGAATCGAATAGAAGATTTAGCGTCAATCGATCTCATTTTGCTAAGTTTGGACTTTCAGCAGCAATTTCTATCAATAAGTTGTTCATGCAAATCTCTGTTCAGTGCTTACTTTCTTACTCACGTCCCTTTGCTTCTTGCTTCAGTCTCTTATAGTCGCTGAACTTAGTGTTTAGATTCATGATTTCGGTTGAAACTAGCTATTGTTCGATCCATTTTGATAACTGCAGCTTTAATTCAGAGTGGATCTCAATCGAGAGCCTCAATGTTGGTCTATTCAATGTTTTAAACTACCGACTGTGTAGCTCTCCTCTACCGAGTGTGTAGCTCTCCTCTACCGACTGTGCAGCAATGGCTCCCTCAACTTACAAACCCTAACAAGATCCCTACTGGTTTGCTCAATCATCACCATGAATTCCCACGCAGCTTTTGGTGCTTCATTTCTTCTTTCCCCCCTTTTTTCATTTAGGGTTTTGACGTCACTCCCCAAAAAACCCTAGCCGCTGCCCTCTTCTCCACTTCTATATTTGCCTTCAAATCGATTATCAAGGTACCAATCTTTCAGAAATGGAAGATGATGATGAGGCCTCAGCTCGATTGGCTCTTCTCTACAAAAAACTAGGTATGCTGCTCTTAGATAAAGACATCTCAGGAATTGTATCAGCCGAGAAAATAGAGGAATGCCAGTCTATCTTAATGGGTCAGCTATACCAAAATCCTAGTATCAATTTCCAGGCCTTTCAAACGGCAATGAAACGAGCATGGAAAAATGAAAATGTGGAAATCACACCTCGGGGGCATAATATATTCAGTTTCACCTTCAAGAACGAATTGGAAAAATCTAGAGTGCTAGAGGGAGGCCCTTGGTCTTTTTCAAATCACTTACTATTACTTCATGATTGTGAACCAAATACTCCTCCCCACTGTTATAAGTTTGAGAAATGTACCTTCTGGATTCGAATAGTTAATTTGCCAATCGGATGGTTTTCCTCGAAAGTAGTAGAATCTCTAGTTAGCTTAGCAGGCCAGGTGAAAGAAGTGAGAATAGATGCTCGTGGCCCTGCAGCTCAAAGAATAGCCAAGGTTAAAGTGGAGTTAGACTTACATCAAGCTCTAACTGTAGGTACTATTGCTACCTTTGAGGGCAAGAAAATTTGGCTAGACTTTAAATATGAAAGCCTTCCCCACTTTTGCTACTCGTGTGGGAAAATAGGTCATTATGCAAATTACTGCAAAGAAGTCCCATATGAAGAAGAAAGATTCACAACTGACCTGGGAAGTAGCTTTGGTAGCTGGCTGAGAGCTGAATCCTAGGAGAACAGTCCTTTTTGGAAAGTTTTCTATAGGAAGGAGACAATAGAAGATCTTATTGAATAAATAATTCCTAAAACTCCAGTGCATCAGGGCCAAATTATTCCTCAGGAAATTGCTCAATCATCTCGAATGGAAGCTGCTGAAGAGGAAGATAGACATGAGAATATGCTATTTGAAGTAGACCAAGAGACTACTCAGGGGAAAAGGAAAAAAGAAACTAGAAAGGAGATTAAGATGATCACTGGCCCTACTCATAAGCAGATTTCTCCCAAGGTAAAGTTGTCCCTTGGTCCTAATAGTAGTGGCATAAAGATTGGCAAGGGGCCAAAAACCCCTATAGCAAAAAGGCAGAGGAAATTCAGCTCTTTATTGTTGGATGAGTCCCAACTTCTAGAGACTCCAATCCTTGTGACTGAGGAAGCAACAAAATGGGCTTTGGTGGCTAGCCTTAATAAGCCATCGGGTAACAAATGAAGATCCTAAGTTGGAACTGTCAAGGTCTGGGCACTCACTTGATAGTCCAAAATATTAGAGCCATGGTGGTTCAAGAGAAGCCCAACTTAGTTTTCCTAATGGAAACTGAGAATCAGGAAGCAGTAGTAAAACGAGTAAAGAAGTGTCTCAATTTCCAGAATCACTTTGTTGTTAATCCAGAAGGAATTGGAGGAGGGTTAGCTATTTTATGGGAAGATCAAGTAAAGGTTAATATAGGATTGGCTACAGCTGAGTTTCTGGACTTAATATGTGAATTTCAGGAAGATAAAAAGCAAATAAGGGTTACACTAGTGCATGCCCCTACTGATTATCGAGAGAGGAACTTACTTTGGACCAAGCTTATCCAGATAAGCTCCCTTAATACCTTGCTTTGGGTTTGTATGGGAGACTTTAATGAAATTCTTAATCACTGGGAGAAGGAAGGGAAGAGAAAAGCTGAATATTATCGTATGTTTGCTTTCAAAGAGTTTCTGAATTCCTGTGCGTTAATGGACATTGAATGCAAGGGATGTGCTTTCACTTGGTCAAATAAACAAGAAGGGGACAATTTTGTAAAGAAAAAGTTAGACAGGGTTCTGAGCACTGTAGAATGGAGAGTCCTTTACCTAGAGGTAGTAGCCTATGCTTTTCCAGCAATTGGTTCGGACCATAGCCCACTTCTATTATCCATAACAGCAGATTCAGTTAAAAAGAACAGAGTATTCAGGGTAGAAGATTACTGGTTTGAAGCTGATGATTTTGTCCATGTAGTTAATGAAGCCTGGTCCTCAATTCCTGAACAAGTAGCAAACTTTCCAAGAAAACTTCAGGTAGTATCTGCTAAACTGAAAAGATGGAGCGGAAAAAGATTTGCGAATTGTTCTCGGAGAATTGATTGTAACAGTCTGAATTTTCGATCCTTTTTCCCGGGATTTAGGAAATGAATTTGACCAATGCGCTATAGTGAGATCTCACCCGGGAACCGCGCATTCTCGGGATGCTAACCTTAGGGGTAGGGCTATTACGGGATTGAGTTCGCACGACCAAAGAACTCGACCTGGGTTCGATCTTTGACTATATGGATTGACGAGGGAATGTTTTGAGCCAACCGAGACCGGTCTATTTGATTGATCGTGTCCGAAGGGCACTAGTGACAGACCCTCGCAATTATATGACGATCGAGGTCGCCTTGGTTCGAGCAAACTTAAACGTGATTTGACTTAGTGTCGGTCACGGGTCGAGAGCGCGTAATCCTAATGAGCCACCCGTTAGCAAGAGATAAGCTAAACTCGCGATTGGTCAATTTTAGTCATTTCTTGGAATTCGGGCCCGGGAATCGAGAATTTTGAAAGTGACAATTTTGAGCGGCCGATGACGTTTTCGGCTTGGCCAACCTTGGGGCCACCCATTTCTGCAAAAAAATAAATTTCGGTCCGGGGTCGGAAAAATTACGGTTTTGCCCCTGTGGACACCGATGTTGGATTTTGAGGTCGTTTGAGGTTATTTTTCGAGGCCAAGGTCATTTTAGAGTGGCCACGCATATTTGGAGTGGTTACGGCCAAAAATTAGAATTTCGACAAAAATTGGAAAAATAATATTATTTTATTCCCGGAACTTCGCAGTCGATTTTCGAGGACTTAGAAAGTGAATTTCGCGATTCTGACGCCATATTATGTTGGCCACGCACATATGGAACACGTATGTGCGAAAATTGGAATTTCGCCCCGGGACCGGAAAATTACGATTTTGCCCCTAGGCCTATTTTTGGGTATTCCGAATTTTGGGGATTTTGGAAATTGAATTTGGGGATTAAGTGTGGATAAATATCAGCCCCAAAATATTGGACAAAAACGCCCTTAGATATTTTGGTTTGGAAGAATATGGACCAAGTGTTTTAGGGGCAAAATTGGAATTAAGAAAAAAATTGGTCAAACCTTGGACCAAATATTTAATTGTTTCTCTCCTCTCTCTCTCTCCTCATTCCCTCTCTTCTCTCGGCAGCCCCCCCCCAACAGAGAACTCTCTCCCTCTCTCCCTCACCAAAAATCCTCTCATCTCTCTCTCGGCCTTGGACCGCCGATCATCGCCGGAGCAAGCCGCCACCGCCGATCGCCGCCGGCCAGCCGTTCCCCCTTGCCGCTCTAACCGAGTTAGTCTAGAGTTCGGGTAAGTCGCGATCTAATCCCTATTTAGGACGTCGGGTATTTTCGGACTCGTCGGGTATGGTTTAGAGGATTTAGAGGTTGATTAAGGTGTCGATAATGGTTTTTGGTGGTTGATCGTGGTTATTGATGGCTGATCATGACCATTAGCGATTGTTGCGGGTTGGATTAGACGTCGGGAAATGAGTTTAGGCGGTTGGAATTCGGTAGAAATCGGTTCGGGTTTGAATCCGTGAGGTTCGGGGTGAATCGCGGATTCACGGTTACTGTACCCGCTCGGTTTTCTATTTTTGTAGAAAATTTTGTGGGCCGAATTTGAGGAAAGTTTCTTCATGAAAGTTGTTTCCAACATCTTGAGGTATAACATATTTTAATTTGGGAATTTTTGGAAATCATTTGATGCCATTCGGAAGTCCATCTTTGGACCGAAATAAAACTGCCCGATTTACTGTTCATCCGACCTTCGGGTCTGTTCGAATTTTTATAAATTTTTCCAGGCCTATTTTCAAAATACTTCCTTCACAAAAGTTGTTGGGGACATTCGTGGCTATAACATATAAAAATTTCAAAGCTTTTCAAGGTGATTTGGGTGTTGAAATAAATATATTTTGAGGACAAAACGGTCTGTTGGAGCGAGTTGATTTTCGTCTGACTTCAAGTGACCAAAAGAGGTGTTTCTAGTTGGAACTAAGTTTTGAGTTCTCCACGGAAAATGTTCAGCAAGATGTTTTACGCAACGTGTCCAAATTTTAGAATTTTTGGAGTTCGTTTACTATTTATTTTGATGGGATTTCGGTCACTGTTTAGGGTTCGGTTTAGGGGTTTATGTGGCTGTTTTGGGGGCTGAGATGAAGGCTGGTATTTGGTTGTCGTGGGCTGAATATGGCGTGGCTGTGTGCCGTGTGTATGTGGCCGTGAGGTGTGGCGGTGTGGTAGTGTGAATGCGCATTGAATTCGCGTGTTAAATGTGTATGGTCGTGTGGTGTATTCGTATGACGAGAACGTGTGTTTGTGAAGTGTACATGAGATGTGAATTGGTTCGTGGCTATGAATGCGTGTGAGGTGTGTATGTTTGGTCGTGCGACTGTTGACCGTGTGTAAGTGCGGTTTGAGTGGAACGAGGATACGGAAATGTGGAATTGGTTGGAAAGGATCCGTCCCGAGGCGTGTACGTTTACGAGGGACGATGCCGTCCCTGACGAGGTGACGATGCCCGGCCCGACGGGGTGACGATGCCCGGCCCGACGGGGTGACGATGCCTGACGTGGTCAGAAAACCGTTGGCCTGATGCGTTTTACGCGGGCGCGGTAGAAGGAAAGTGTGTGTAGGATTCCGTCCTGAGGTGTGTTCGTTTACGCGGGACGATGCCGTCCCTGACGAGGTGACGATGCCCGGCCCGACGGGGTGACGATGCCTGACGAGGTCAGAAGACCGTTGGCCTGATGCGTTTTACGCGGGCGCGGTAGTGGTGGAAAGGTTGAGAATGAGCGGGATTTGGCTTGACATGTGAGGATTGTGAAAGTGATGCATGGTGTGAGTTAGTGTGCGAGTGTATTTGTATCGCGTGATGCAGTGCGCGATTATGGGGTAAAATCTGCTATGCATGGTATGGGACGTGCCCAAGTAGGTTTTGCTTTATAATCGAGCAGCGCGCTGTGATGTACTTCTTTGTGGTATGATTGGCGTGTGTATTGATATGTGGAAAGTGTGTGATGGCATGTGTGCAAGAATTGTATATTGGGATTGTGGGCTAACGTGCATGGTGCGTATGCAGAGAGTCTAGGTATGTGTGAATGTTCGATTGCTGATTGTCTGGTTGTTTGGTTGCGCGTTTGGATGTGTCTGGAATTACGTGATAGCCTAGGTGGGGCTTAGGTTGTGACTTATTGAGATGTGATCTCGGGGTTGTTTCAACCAAACCATTTCGAGCCCCGCCCGAATGTCGAGATTGAGGTCGACTCGGAGTCGTCGAGTGAGCGGACAGTGCCGAGGATTGAGGTGGTGATGCCGAGGACAGGTGAGTCGAGTGGACGCCTTCGAGAGGGCGTAGGGGATAGTTCCGGGAGGAGGATGCGCCCCATTTTTGGATAGTCTTGACCTAGAGAGCGATCTTGATATTTTGGTGGTTTGGAGTTTATAGTTCGGTGTGCTTATAAATTATTTTGTGGTTTGTATTGGCGGATGATGTAAATATTTGGAAGTGTAATATATGCTTGGTGGTTTGACGATTTGTTCCTTCCTGGTGTTCTCCAATTTTAATGTCCGGGATTTTTATTGCTTCCGCCGCGAGTTAACTCTGATGGATCGTTGGGTCGGCGACGTTATTCCTGGGACGTCGCACTCTGTTCGACCGGAGGCGGGATGTCGCGGGCTCGACGGGGGTTCGGGGCGTGACATTGATGCTTTAAAAAAGGAACGGACAGATATAACCAACTCTACTAGAACTCATTCAGATAGAAACAAAGAAGTTACATTGAAACAGGAGATAGAATCTCTATGGAGGCAAGAGGAAATGTATTGGGGAATGTGCTCAAGAATCAAGTGGATGAAATGGGGAGATAAAAATACAAAATTCTTCCATGCAACCACTATACAGAGGAGACTACGAAATAGAATTTCAATGCTCAAAACAGAAGAGGGGTCTTGGATTCGCAATTGAAGGCTCTTACACCAACAAACAACAGATTATTGTAAAAGTCTATATCGTTCAGTGGGTAACAGAAATTTTGTTCCGGTTTTAGACGTCATTCCTACAATGGTACATGAAGATATGAATGCATCACTAACTGCTGAGGTCACTTTGGAAGAAGTCAAGCATGTTGTTTTCCAACTAAGTCCTCTGAGTGCCCCTGGACCAAATGGTTTTAATGGGAAATTTTTTCAGTTCCACTGGGAGACTCTTCAGTTTGAAGTATTTGCAGCAGTTAAAAAAATTTTCATATAAGGAAAATTGAATCCTGATTTAAATTGAACCCACATTACACTAGTTCCAAAAGTTCCTAACCCTGAAACTCTCGATCAATTCCGTCCCATTAGTTTGTGCAATTTTGCCTACAAAATCATATCCAAGGTAATGGTGAATAGACTCAAACCTTGGTTATCGAATTTAATAGCTCAAGAGCAAAGTGCATTCGTAAGTGGGAGACTTATCCAGGACAATATCATGATAGTGCAGGAAGTGTTGCATCAACTATGAGTAAAGAAGAGGAAAAAATTTCAGGCGGTCTTGAAATTTGAAATGAAAAAGGCATATGACAGAGTAGAATGAGATTTCTTGGAGGCATGCTTAAGAAAACTAGGCTTTGATGAAAAGTGGATTACATGGGTTATGCAATGTGTATCTTCAGTCTCATTCAATGGATTACATGGGTTATGCAATGTGTATCTTCAGTCTCATTCAGTGTTAAATTTAATGGGAATCCACTCCCTTACTTGCAGCCTTCCAAAGGACTTCGGCAAGGTGATCCATTATCCCCTTATCTCTTTATATTGGTAGCAAATGTTTTATCTCTTATGATGAAGAAAGCAGTGGAGGATGGCAGTATAAAGGGTATTAAACTTAACTCCTATTGCCCTACCATATCACATCTTCTATTTGCGGATGACTCCATCTTCTTTTTGGATGGGAGAATTCAAGAATGCCAATTTGTATCGGATGTTCTGCATCAGTATTGTTTTGCTACTGGACAGGAGATACCTAAACAAATCAGGAATATTTTTTAGCTTAGGGTGTCCACATACCTTAAGAGCAAATATGGCTTATGAACTGCGTGTCCCTGAACTGGATAAAACAGGAAAATACCTTGGAATTCCGTCGGATTGGGGAGAGTCTAAGAAGAATATGTTTGCCTGGATACTTGGTCGAGTTAACAAAAAACTGTAAGGTTGGAAGGAATCTTTAATTTCTAAAGCGGGGAAGGAGATATTACTAAAAATAGTAGTGTAGGCTCTTCCTCAATATGCAATGTCAATTTTCAAGATCCCTATTTCCATATGTAAAGCGATTGAAGAGAGAATGGCAGCATTTTGGTGGAAAAACAGAGAATCTCACTCTGGAATTCATTGGAAGAGTTGGGAATTCTTGAAACAAAGGAAAGACAATGGAGGCATGGGATTCAAAGATTTACTTTCTGTTAACAAGGCTTTCTTAGGAAAGCAAGCATGGAGATTAATGCATCAATCGTCCTCTTTATGGGGTCAAATTTTTAAAGGGATTTACTTCCCAAACAAGAGTTTATGGCATGCTAGGAAAGGGCATAGACCTTCTTGGGGCTGGCGAAGCTTACTATTGGGAAGAGACTCAATCTCAGAATCTTCAATGTGGACAGTGGGAATAGGAGAAGCAATTAGTATCAGAGAGCACAGATGGTTGAAAAGAGGAGTAATTGGAGGGCCATCGAATGAAAATGACCCACAAAAGGTAGTAGAGCTTATAAACAACGAAGAAAATTCCTGGAATGAACCTCTTCTTCGAAATATGTTCGAAGAAGAAACTGTGAAAGAAATTCTCGCTATTCCTCTAAGCACTCACTCTATTCAAGACAAACTGGTGTGGACATATTCATCAACATGAAATTACTTAGTAAAGAGTGGCTACAACTACATAAGACTTACTGAGAATATCCGAAAAACTCCAATGGCCTCCTCATCTTTCTCGGCTCCTCGAGCTTTGTGGAATAAGATTTGGAAAATGGAAACCATCCCTAAAATTAAGTTCTTTCTATGGAATGCACGTCAGAACAGTCTACCCACAATGGAAAACTTACACAAGCGAAAAATAGTACCATATCCTTTATGCTCACTGTGTAAAGACCAGGTGGAATCCACAGAGCATCTCCTTCTTCTTTGTCCCTGGACAAGAGAAATATGGGCTCAACCATCCCTAAACATTCAGGTGTCTTCCCAAGGGTTAAGCAGAATAGAGACATGGCTAATGCAATTCCTTAAAAGTACAAGAAACCTACCTTCTCTGGAACTTGTTGCAACCATCTTCTGGTTTATTTGGACTTCCCGCAACACCTTTATCTTTCGAAAGAAACTCTCAGACCCAGTTCAAGCACTACAGGGAGCTCTAACTTCTCTCAGCAATTACAGGAGATGGAATTCAAAGCAAAAACCAGACCTTGACGCACCCACCTCATCTGAGATCTGGAAACCCCCAAAGGGCAGATCTTTAAAGGTCAATATTGATGGATCCTTCGTCGAAAGCTCCATGGAAGGCGTAATCGCTTGCATCGTTCGAAACTCAGAGGGGACACTTGTTGATGGCTTTGCAAAACAAATCCATGTCTCCTCAGCCTCTCAAGCGGAATTTGTGGCTCTCTTGGAAACCCTAAAGTTCTTAGTCCCTCGAAGACACTATCCCCTCGAGTTAGAATTAGACAATCTAACTTTGGTTAAAGCTATGGAGAACTCAGACTTTATTCCATGGGATGCACGTGCAATTATCTCCCAATGCCTTGATCTATATATCGTCCAGCTTCTCACAGTTGCGTATCACCCATTGCCATCGTGAAGCCAACTCCATTGCGAACTGGGCCACAAAAGCTCAGCGCCATAAAACTCTGCCGATGGACTGGATTTCTTCCCCTCCCCAAATCTTGTTGGATTTACTTTGTAAGGAAGCCTAGTTTATGGGCTCTGCGTTTTCAAATTAAATAAAAGTTAATCAGTTTATGACCAAAAAAAAATGTTTTGATTTCTACTTCAATGCTTGATCTCATGCCTTAAACTGCTTGTGGATTGATTTTGTTTGAACTGGATTGGTTTTCTGAGGATTGATCTCAATTATAGAATGAAGATATTGTGTCCGGTTTGTTCATCTGGACATGCGATTAAATGTATCACCAAGTGGTTTCGGGCAACATTAGTTTGATGCCATATGACTGAGACTTCACAATGAATTGCTCATTTCAGTTTGCATCATATCAGCACTTTGAGATCCTATATAGACAATATAGACTTGATCTCAGTATGATCATGTTTATTCTCGTCATGGAATGATAATTCACCTGGATACATCAAAATTGGCCGGATGGACTCAATTAGCAAAATGCGAAAATGTTTAGGACTCGATTAACACAATTAAAAAGTTTAAGACTCAATCGGCATAAGTACAATGAGTTAAGGACTTTTTTGGTGATTCTCCCAATTGGTTCGTATTGACGACTTCTGAGCACTTGTTTTTTGTTTTTGGATTTAAGGGAAGTGATCACATCAAGCACTTAAAAGATTTAAGTTGAAATTCATTTATCGTGAAAATGGTCGAATTAACTAACGGGAGCTTTCACATGAGTCCACACGGTCAAATAAGATAGGCTTGTTATCAATTACGACCACGGCAAAAGAGCTGTCCATTAGCTGAATATTCTGAAACATAGAGTAATTAATTAATTAATTCTATCGTGCATACGAGTGCGAGTTTGTGTCTGATCCACAAGGAAAGGACGATAATGCAAATCACTGTAGCCAAAAAGTAATGGCCGACAAAAGTAAGAGCACACTACGTACAATATTGCCAAATCCCAAGGGTCTTAAGAGAATTTCATTGGAACCGAAAGGTTTCCATCTTATTCATCTTCTCACAGAATTAGCCTTACGTAGACAAGGGTTGAGGGCTTTACAGACTCGCACATGCTTGATGATGCGACCACATTGGCATCCGCACGATGCTTTCTCTCTGTAAATTGAAAGGAATAAAGGGAGGAAGGAACATGTGACATTTGCTTTAGCTCCAAGATTCTGTTACTTTGTTTTTTTTCTTTTTTCTCTTTTCTCTTTGATAAAAATCAATTTCTTTTGCATTTGGAGCCATTAAGTTATTTCTGTTTTACTTTTTCAATGATAAAAAAAAAAAAAAGCAATGCCACGTCAGCTTATCGTATAAGCGCTGTTTGCCGCGTAAGCTCCTTTGGAAAAAGATAATAGCAAGTCATTTTTATTAATCGTGGAAGAGTACGTGCCTTTCTTGGGATATTTAAAAAGCGGGATCCTTGTTGTTCCTTTCATATAAATTAGGGTTAATATCACGAAAAACTCCAAACTAGTACATTTGTGACAATTTTACCCAAAACTAATTTATTGACCACCAAAAATCCCGAACTAGTACATATGTGATAAATTTACCCCAAACTAATTTTTTGACCACAAAAAACTTAAAACCGGTACGCTTGTGACAAATTTACCTTCTGTTATCAGCGCTTGTTTCACGCTCACCCTCTTTGTTTGGTAATCCGGTACTATTGATTCAACCCCAAAAAACATAAAAGCGAAAAAGAAAAATGGGAAGAAGAAACCAAAAAATGGGTGAAATAACTGCAACATAAACTCATTTCACAGGCGCCAATATTTGTCTCCCTAAGCTTTTATATGTCTCTAAAAATGGTAATTGAACGACACCATGTTTAACCATCTTCTTGTTGGCTGCGTAATTTGTTACTTAAAAATATTTGGTAAACTTGGAAAATTAGCAAGTCTCTGCCCACTTTTATTTAGACAATTCAGCCTATGACAATTGATAGGAAAAAAAAATGATTTCTGCTCATTGTAGAACACCTACATATGAATTTCACGCGTAACATTTTCAAAATTATCGTTACATATAATGCTTATATTTCTTACTTCATTCTTTGTATTCAAACGGTCATTATAAATGGTTGGACTGGTTGAACTAGTGGAATCGCATCCTAGCCCACACTTTGGTTCAACCTCCGGTACCATTTTCAAAACATTGCCTATAATCAGAGACCATATTAGTGGACTAAAAATTATCTGTTTTTCTTGAAAGATGGGTATGTGGAAATCTTTAATTAAGGGCCCTCACCTTTGGTTTATATCTATCCATAGAATTTCTTTAATGGACAACCTCACTCTTACTTTATTAAATTCCATCCGCTTTATACGAAGTAAAGTGCGAGTGTATCAATAGATTATACCAATGTGAAATTGGATATCTTTGCTTTAAACCCGCTCCTAACAAAACTTCCTCGATTTTGAAAATTCACTATAATTTATGTAGAGGATTATATTTTCCTCCATCCCTAATTGAAGGAAACTTTCTTGGACCATGCCTTTGATCGGTAGATTACAAATTATGGACATAACCAACATGCAAAAATAAATGTGGATGATGTCCATGTTATCCTACCTTAATGCTCGTACTGGTTACTATATTATCTAAAAAAAGGGCCCAACTTGTTGAGACTCCATATACCTCTCAACCTCACGTGATAATCGAGGATAAAACAAGTGTTCGAAAGTATAGTCCAACTTTCGCTTGATTATTCTGTTTAAAACAACTTGTCATCGTTTTCTAGATCAAGACATCATTCTCTATATTCTAAATATAGATCAATACATACCTGGTTACAGTTACAAACTTGTTTAACTAAAAATAAAAATAAAAAAGAAGAAGAAAAAGCATATCTTCTCCATGAGCACGAGATTATAATAACCATCGTTGAGCTCTTGGGAGTCTCATCCGGATCATAGCAGACAGTCGACAACCTCAAGTTATGTCCATAAGTAGCACTTCCGCTACACCTTTGGTGTCCATCACGAAATAAGGGATGCGGATGATCGCAGATGTATCTCCTAATTTTTTAGAGAGAAATCAATTTTCTTATAACATGTACAAAATCAGGGACAAAATTAATGATAATTATCCAAGTAGGATTTGTAAAGTTATCTCTCAATATTGATAACAGAGATAATTACATGTGCCAAAGAAAAAAACAAATCGCGCGAAGAGAAACCGATCGCTCCAAGGTTCCTTACCTCGCTCACAAAGTGCATGAAGTGGAGATTCAACATAGTGCAAATTTATGTGAAGCGAAGTTTGGAGAAAAAATAGAAGGTTGTACAAGAAGCACCCACACAGCTCCATTCTTCATTGCACCTATTTTGCAACTTCCAACTTCAAAGACGAATGCTAGCAGGGGCAACTCATCATAAGCCCTTCCTTCTAACGTCACTCAACTTTTTTGCACATGTGCTTATTTGTTGTTTCCACTTTCTTGGCTTTTTCGTTTTCTTCTCATAAATAAGAGATTAGCTCCTGGCTACATTCGGTGATCATAAAAAAATTCAATTTCATCTTTAGTTTATGTGATCAGCCAAACGTGGCGCTGATGGCCGCCACATCAGCATTGCCGTTTGCAATTTTCACGGAAGGACTAACTTGAGCATTATATATCGCGCATTGGATACAAAAAGAGAGTATATGGACGACATTGAACAAACTTGAAGAATAAAAGCATTGTCCATTAGCTGTAAGCTTTTCACACAAGTTTTATCAGGAGAGTTTCTTGGAGGCTTTATTATATACTGAGGGGTGTATTGCTTTCTGTTCTTCCCCCACCATAGTGAATGATCATAGGCTTTCCAACCCAAGAATCGGAAGTCACTGGTTTGAATTCCATTAAGTGTGTACTGCCCTGGGGTAGGGCTACATGCATAAGCAAAATGCCTAGACTTAAACGATTCATAGCACTAGCAGGTTGTTTCATGAGCCTCCAAGTGAATTATTACATTAGTTTCTCATAGATTATAAAAAGAAAATGATCAATCACAACTTAAAAATCATATATCACACAATAAAAAAAATATTTACTAATACATCCAAAAAAATTTACATCACTTATTAAAGTCATCGATCAAGCACATCTGATTCGCTCCTTTGGACAAGATAAAAGGTGGTTTCCACTATGAACATAAATCATCGGTTCTTTCATTTTAGTGGGGCAGGGAGAGCAACAGGATGCCCATCTTCATTTTGATTTGCCTGGCCACGTGATCCAATTACAAAGACAACTAACGAAACATATTGAAGTCTAAAGTGGGGGGTATTCTTGCCAATTCATTTTTAGTTTATAATTTATGGTTAAATTATTATATACGGAGCTTGAAAAATTTTATGTGATTAACATAACATTAATTTGAAAAAATTAATATGGAATGAGAATTGAGGCCTTATTGCCTTTCTCGATTCCCATTTGGATTGTTGGAATGAAGTCAAAAGTGAGAATTAAATTAGGATGGTAACTTTCACCTACTCAAGTGCATATCCGCACTTCTCTACCCTTGGGCTACGTTTCGTAGCTAGAATAAAATTCAGAAGAGGATAATATTTATTATATCCCGTGTTTGGTTCCTATCCAAGATTGGATAAAATCGGATATAAGAGGGATATAGCCTGGTGTTGACACCCAAAATTATCCCTGATGGGAGTGGGCCGTTTACAAGTTACAAAAGATATAAAGTGCGGCCACATAGCGAAAATCCAAAAGGCCGCAAGTCAGGCCCAGAGGCATTAAGAAGACCTAAGGCAATTGTCGACAAGACACGTCATAGAGGTGTCGACAAATTCAAAATCACGAGCCTTGCATGTGACATCGACAAGTTCAAGATCACGAGCCTTGCACGTGACGTCGACGAATCCA